GCTGGTGGGTTACGAAGCGATTTAGTGGGTGTGACGTCTGTATGCGGCTACCGAGGTGGTGTGAGTGAGCTTGTTGGGGCCTGTGAGGTAGGCAGTAGTGGTACCGAAGAAGCATGGGGTGGTAAGCTTAAGCTATCAGCGCTTGCTCAATTACCTGTTCTTGTTCTCTTTCCGTTCGCCTTTTCTCTTTAGTAGTACGACGCGCACGCAGCTGGTTACAAAGAGAAGCAATTGAGCAACACCGCGACCATGGCGAAAGACAGCAACAAGAAGATCGACGAGGTCGACGGTGTGCCTGTGGAGCGACAAGGCGCACGACCAGACTTCTCGATTCCACCGCCGAGGAAACAGTTACCGAAGGAGCTTCAGGATACGCTCAATGATGAGGAGAAGTTGTGGGAGGTGCTTTACGATGGCGAGTATGTATACCTCCTCAATCCCATCCTCACGATTGCCAGCAAAGCGTCTACTCTGTCTTCCTCTCCATGATATGGATAGCTAACCCATTTCCAGAGGCGAAGACACAACAGACACCTCCCTCCGCTACGCCGCCTACGCCTCGCGCATCCGCACTATCATGCTCTCCGCCCACCGCTACGTAGCCTACACCTCCGACATAGGCGAATCCTTCCGCCCCATCGCACATCCCTACCTCGTAAAAGGCGCCTACGGTATCTCCTGGCTCTACCTCATGGGTGACGTCTCGCACGAAGGCTACAAAGCGTACGTTCGCAACCAGCGCATACTGCACCCGGAGAAGTACATAGACGACGCCGCAGAGAAGAGCCTGGAGAACGTCACGAGTAAAGATAGGGACATGGCGGCGACGGGTGGCAAGAGTAATGCGGCGGGTATCTTTGATAAGGTGCAGGCGGCTGCGAAGCAGGCGACGAGTACGGAGGGAGTCAAGTATGGGGATGCGGGGAGTGCGTTGACGGGTGGGCAGGTTGTTGGCGGGAGGATACCGGCGATTGAGGATTACAGGGCTGTTATGGCGCAGAGAGCTGTGTTCCAGGCTGTTGCGTCAATGGGTCTGCCGGCTTTTACTATTCACAGTATAGTCAGGTACTCGGGGCGTGCGCTGAAGGATGCGAAGAATAAGACGTTGAGGACGTGGGGGCCTATTGGGGTAAGTGCTTGCGTGGAAGGACATTGGAAGGAGAGTAAGATGCTAACGAACGATAGCTTGGTCTCGCGGGTGTACCTTTCTTGCCCTACATATTCGACGAACCGGTTGAGCATGCGACGGAGTGGCTGTTTTATAATGCGTTCAAGACGTTCGGTGGAGAGAAGGCGGTTGAGGGAAGGCCGGCGACGGGGGTTAAGGAACTGAGGAAAGAAGAGACGGAGGCGAATAAGCTGAAGAAGGAGTTGTAGAGGGTTTGGGAGGTGGACACACGACATGCGTAGATATCACGATACACGCTATACACTCTGTATGAATGTAAATATGGAATTCTTCTCTTCGAAACGCTTTGAATAAGACCAGATGTGATTCCATTCATATAGACGGGTATCTTTGCAACGGACCAAGATCATTCTTTCAAGAGATTCATTGCGCTGATGCTCAAGCCTTTCCTCTCTTCGCTCCCTTCTCGCAAGCCTCTGTAAACACCCTCAGCAGCTCAGGGAAATCGCACACATTCATCGACTCAAACGCCGGATTCTTGTCCACCTTCAATGCACTCATACGCGGACTCTTGATACCAAACGCGAATTTGGCGAGAAACCTAGGGTCATCGCGTACGCTGACTGCCTTCAGTACTTGTTGGATCTTAGCTGGGTCAGGAGGCTGAGGCGGCTCATCAGGTAGTACGGCTTGCGTATGAGTCTCGCACCACGTGCAATGCCCGCATTCCTCTGCTATGTCAGTGCTCTCTCCGAAGTAGTCTGCGAGTGACCTAGACAAGCAGCGTTTGTCGGTGATGAGGTTGATTAGAGCTTTCGTGCGTGCGAGATTCTGTTTCTCGGTCTTCTCCATGGTTTCGTCCAGCTGCGCGACGATCTTGTCAATCTCTTCGGGTGTAGATGGTAAAGGACGTTCGAGGCGGTAAATGTTTTGTACGCCTTCCTTCTTCAGTTCAATCGCGCCACGCTCATTCCATTCGTCCATCTTGCGCACTAGATCTGCTCGAGGTATATTGGATGAGTTCGCTAGGTCGTCCAAGGCGACGTGCGTCCATTTACTACTCTGGACGGATGCTCTGACGATAGCGGAAGCTGCGGATGACCCATCATTCTTTGCGAGATTCGGGTTCTTCGTGATGTACGAATACTTCGCGTACATAGCTCCAGCAGAACGGAAGAGCCCAAAGTTCAACTCCATTTGCGCGTACAGGATACTAAGAACGATGGCTTTGATGTCGGTTGCCTGCCCTTGTGTATACAATGAGAGCTGGAAAGTATCACCTGCTTTGAGCTTCGAGCGAGCAGGAGAACATATGTCCTGCATCAAGAGCTTCAATGAGCGGTGCGAAGGCCGGTCGCCGTAGGTAAAGATGTTGCGGAGGTAGAAATCTTTCGTCGAGAGGTAGAACATGCACGTACTCGGCTTTCCGTCTCGTCCAGCTCTGCCGATTTGTTGACTGTAAGACTCGATGCTGTCAGGTATGTCGAAATGAACGATGCTACGAATGTCTGGTTTGTCGATGCCCATACCGAATGCGATCGTTGCGATGACTATCATGTCGGTGCTAGCCAGAAACTCGTCTTGCGTTTTCGTGCGCAATGGTGCAGGCATTCCAGCGTGATAGAATTTGGCGTTGAAGCCACGCTTCTTCAATTCTGCGGCCAGCATCTCCGTGCCCTTTTGAATCGTCACATATACGATGGTAGGACCTGGGTACTTTTTGACGTGAGCAGCAAGTTTCGACACGTAATCGGCGTCTTTTCCGTTCGCCTCGGCAAGAAGACGTAGATTCGGACGGTACATGGTCGTCCTGAACAGGCCCTCTCTCGATATGGAGAAAGCATCCCGGATGTCTTCGGCAACTTTCGGTGTGGCTGTAGCTGTCAAGCACACGACTCTCTCAACTTGTGCTTCTTTTGCGAAGCGAGCAATCTTGAGGTAATCGGGACGGAATGAGTGGCCCCACTCTGAGATACAATGCGCTTCATCCACGGCTAGCAGACGGATACCTCCGGGAATGTCTTTGAGCGACGCAATAAAACCTTCGCTGTTGAGACGTTCTGGTGCGCAGTAGATCAGATCTAAATGCCCTTTCTTGAGATCGTTTTGTGTAGCCAGGAACTGGTCGCGAGAGATGGACGAGTTCAGTACGGCAGCCTTGATACCGCGGCGCAAGAGGGCGTCGACCTGATCCTTCATCAAAGCAATGAGTGGCGCGATGACTAGAGTGACGCCACTTTGTTCACGCGTCCGGCGACCAAGCTCTTCGTCTTGATATCTGAACGCCACAGCAGGCACCTTGGAAAGTTAGACGAATTCTGATTTCAAAAGACAGGACTCGCCTGGTAGCAGAGACTCTTGCCACCTCCAGTGGGGAATACAACAACTGCACTTCCTCCATCAAGGAGGCGGGTAATAGCTCTTTCCTGTTCGAGCCGAAAGCCATTCAGCCCGAAGCGTCCTTTCAGGATGTTGTTTGCGAGGATTTTGCTGGCCGATGGCGTATCGGTGGTGTTCTCCTCATGTCGACTCCGTTTGGTTAAAGACTCAATGTCTGCGCTGTCGTTGGCGATCTTACGCTTTCCATCAGGCGCAACGTTTGTACTAGCAGCAAACTGCTCTTCGTCACCCGAAGACCAGCCAAACTCATCGTCGCTCATGTCAGCGTATCAAGCGATGGCTGAACACCTGTAGTAGTTCGAAATCTTGGAAATGCGACCGCGATTGGCGATTGCTGGGGAAAGTCGCGGTGTCACCAATGCGTGGCAGTCGCGACTTGACCCAAACCCAGGGTTACACGCCAAGGGATCAAAAGCGCGCTAGCACGTGATTAGACGTGTCACCACCTGGGCACCTGCAGTGCAGCTCGCGAAGAGGGACGATAACGGACAACGCACTCCCCCAAGACCCTCAATGGTCATGCATACAGCTGGCTACATCTCTTGATCGGGCATTGTCAGGCCGAGGCTGCGTTGCTCTGACGGCGACATCTGCTAGTGACGGCCCCATTCCTCAAGCTGAGTGAGAATCACCATCACCTACTTCACCCTTTCGGGTCATCCGCCAAGGTACTCTTTGACTATTATGCACGTATGTCTGGGATTATCGACGTGGTTTTCGACTTTCGGACGGTCATCCCGGTATGCCACGCCCGAAATGCTGCGAGGCCACCTGGGTTGGCACTCGCATAGGATGTGAGTAAATATCATGGTCTCCGAAAGAAGCAGTTGGTAGCGGAGCATTGCGCCGAAATCGAAGATCTTTCAGACCCTGAAGGATTCGCTTTCGCTATTTCAATTCCTCCCGCGTTCGAGATTGATCTAGCGGCCAGATCAAAGCTTTACACTCGCCACACTGACCAATCACTGAGAACGTTTCCTTCTCCTGTACGCTGATCCGATATCCGGTGCATCTAGGTTTAGTGAGAAACTGCGGGCATCGAGAACTAGAACGGTCCGATTTTGACCCCACTTTCAGGGACATAGAGCAGCTGCAATGCCGCACATTGGGTACTTCACCGGTGCTCTTTCCGGGCTCACACCTAGGGTAAGCCGGTACGCTACCACGAACAACGCACCAACTCACTCAATTCTCATCCGAGTTATACACGCCACATTCATAGTCTGGATATCAATTGCAAAGCCACTTGTGAATACAGCGTGGTCTTGACTTCCCCAGTGGCGAGTCTGTCTTGTCCGGGCGGCTTCATCGCGACACCCTTGCTGGACACCGCCCTTTCCGTCGCATTGCTACAACGCATCTTGCATTATGCGCTGAGACCAAGCATTTACCGATCATCATCTTTTACGCCAAACTTTAATCGCCTATCCTTCGTCTATGTCCCGTCGAGGGTTACTACGACCCATCCGGAATGCCGTCGGCCGAGCGCTCCCACACGCGCCCGCTGGACCTAGAGGATCTGGAGTTTGATGCCGCACCACTGTTCGTCATCAGAGCGGGTGAGATAGCTCTGGGCTTCGAGTTTGTCTTCTGCAATGAAGCGTTTCGCAGACTCCCTCTCCGCAACTCTATCCTAGCCGAGGATAGAGCATCACTCCTGTTCCGCTCATGGGCACAGGCTCTTGGTGAATACAAACCTCAATGTGAATTTGGCGGTCATGTTTGGACTGCGGAATTGGCAGGGAGAAATGGCGGCTTCAAGATAGTGAGAGCGACAGGATCCGACGCGCAGCAGCAAGAAGCGCCTTCGTTGGAGGAAGAAGCAGACGATGACGATCATCTCACTATCCGTCCAACGCCAGTCTTCACACGATCAAAAGCACAGCTCATCAATGACCTCAAGCACGATAGATCAATATCGCTCAAGAATATTCCGTACACGAACCTTCATGCCAGGTGGGAAAGTATCCAGACTATGATGGAGATGAGCGATGTTGGAGTGTTTGAGTACAACGCAGAGGGAAAGCTTTTGCATGCCAATGAAGCATGGTATAAATTGAGGTAACTACAACTACAGCACGATGTTTCACGACATTGACAATGCCCAGCTCCCAACCCAGAAACGTCAATCCTGACGAGTTCTCGTTCATGGATCTTGTCTACCCCGATGACCAAGCACTTGTAATGTCCATGTGGAACAAACTTTCGCAGGGAAAATCCGTTACGTTTGAGATGCGATGGAAGGCACGCCCAGGAACCAAAGGCGCCGCGCAATGGGTACTTTCAGCTTGTGTTCCGGTCTTCGATGATGACAAGAAATTGATCGGTGTTGCCGGTAATACCGTAGACATCAACGCACAAAAGAAGTCGCAAGAGGCGGCACAAGCACAGGTGTAAGGTTGATTTGCAGCATGCCTGATGTAAATATACTAAGTTCATTTCTAGCGAAGCACTCGAACAAGCGCGGCTGGCGGAAAGGAAATTTGCGCGCTTTGCCCAAGTATCCCCTACCGCTATATATGTATACATACCTGAGAGTGGTAAGTATGATCATCTCATCGCAGAGTAATTGCTAATATTGAAATAGGCATGAACTTCGTCAATGACCATTTCTTCGAGCTCACTGGCCATCCACATGGTCCAGTCAGCCAGTACGACTGGTTCGACCTCATCGCTAAGGAAGATGTCGAAAAAGTCAAGAAAGATTGGGAGAACATGCTCACGAGCGGTAAAGCCAAAGGAATACAATTTCGTTTGAACAAGACTTGGATCAATCAAGATGGTATTCGCTCGAATATATGGGTGCAAAGTTCAAGTTGCCCAGAGCTGGACGAGAACGGCCAAGTCATAAGTAAGATAGTTCTCCGCACTTTACACATTCAACGCGCTGATCCTTTCAGGCATCATGGGGACGCTATTCGATATCTCGCAGTTCAAGTGGGCTGAAAGCGTTCAGCGGCGCCGCATCGACGAAGCGCTGGAAGCAAAACGACAACAAGAAAAGTATTTCACTGCGCGCTCTGCAATCGACTCTTGTTGACAAGTACAGCTTCATTGATATGACTTCGCACGAACTCAGGAGTGAGTGACGCCTCTGCACCAGACATACGAGCCACCGCTAACGTCGTATCCCAACATCTAGATCCATTGTCAGCTGTCATACAATGCGCCGACTCCGTTATTGCATCGCTTCAACAACTAGCCAGACGCCAAATCATAGCATCGAAAGATCCGTCCGAGATATCCAAGGCAGAAGCAGAAGTTCAGAGCTGCATTGAATCGCTGCTGATCATAGTGTCATGTTCAATGCACCAAAAACGCGTCATTGACGACGTGCTCACCCTGTCGAAACTTGATTCTAACTTGATCTTGATCACGCCAATGCGCGTGCAGCCCGCGGTGGTCGTGTCGGATGCGGTGCGCATGTTCGACGTCGAGTGCAACCAGGCGGGCATCAAGCTCGTTTTCCTCATTGATGAGACTTTCAATGGCATGGATTGGACGATGCTTGACCCCTCACGCCTCTTGCAAGTCCTCATCAATCTACTGTAAGATTCTCATCTCCATGTCGCATACCCTACGCTAACAATACCAGAACCAACGCCATTAAATTCACCAAAGACCGCCCTCAAAAAGCCATCACCGTCACTATCGGTGGCTCCTGGACCCGTCCACCTAAGTGCTGGAACGAGATAACCTTCACCGACGATGAGAAGCCCAAGACAGACATCACCGACAAAGCCGAATGGGGCGAAGGCAAAATAGCATTCCTCTGGCTGAAGGTTAAAGACACCGGCTGTGGTATGACCACAGACGAACAAAAGAAACTCTTCTCCCGATTCTCGCAAGCAACACCACGCACGCACGTTAAATACGGCGGTTCAGGCCTCGGTCTTTTCATTTCCAAGTCGCTTACGAAGCTACAAGGAGGTGCCATCGGCGTCCACTCCGAGAAAGAGCAAGGCTCAACATTCGCTTTCTTCATCAGCACGCGCCTCGCGCACCCACCAGCCGACCAAGTCTCCGCGCGCGCCGTGCAAGCTAGGCCCGTCCCTCGTCGTACCATGACAGGCGAAGAAGCCATGCAATCCATCAGACTGAACGTGCTCATCGTAGAAGACAACCTCGTCAACCAAAAGGTCCTTAGGAAGCAACTACAGAAGTTCGGCTGGAACATCAGCGTAGCAGGTAACGGCCAAGAAGCGTTGGAATGGCTCAAAGACAGCGTATACTGGCGCAACGAGGAAGACAGTTCCAAGCCGGACAAGAAACACGACCTCGACATCATCCTCATGGACATAGAAATGCCCATCATGGACGGCCTGACTTGCGCCCGCCTTATCCGCGACTATGAACACCAGGGTTTGCTCGCGGCGCCACCAACGCCGGGAGTACCATCGTCGGGGCGGGCTTGTCATAAAAAGACCTCATCTACGTCTTCGGCGTCGCATGAGCGGCCGGATAAGCAATCGCTCCGTTTGCCTATTCTGGCTGTGAGCGCGAATGCGCGTATGGAGCAGATTGAACAGTCGCTGGCGTCGGGGATGGACGATGCGATTTCGAAACCTTTTCGTATTCCGGAGCTTTGGCCGAAGATTAGGGGGTTGGTTGGGAGAGTTGCGGATGCGGATACGAAGGCTAGGTCGTGATCTTTCTGGGGACATGGTTCATTGGGAAGGGTTTGCATACTGGTGGCGTTGGCTAGATATATGAGCATTGACTCGGCGTTTGGTAGGAGTAGTAATGCAGTGATTCTGATGGCTTCAAAGTGGTGTGCGAGAATGTGTCAAACGAAGGGTTGTGCAATAAATCTTGTCTAACCTACATTCGTCTGAATGTGGAAGTACGCGTCTTGCGTGGACACATGACTCCATGCACGTACATTCTGAACAACTGTTACCCCGACTGTGCATATCTTCTAACTATTTGCCCGCCCCGACTTGGCGATGCATCGAGTTTACTAAGCTAGTTGCTTAAGTCCGATGCATCGTGTAAGCTCAGTCAGCTTTCTTGTGCCCTGCCAAGACGACCGAGTAGCGCAATAGGAAAGAGTAGTAAAGCAAACAGCGCTTCGAGCCAAGAAGGCGTAGGAGACCTAATGCATGATGTGCAAGATATTGATGCCTTTGAAGATGTGAGAATAGATAAAGCTGCACAAAATGACGATATTCTGGTGACCTACAGTCAATCTGCCCACCCTCCAGTATGAAGCTCGCCAGCATCATTAGCGCATTCGCATTCGCTATACCACAGCTTACGTTCGCGCAATTATCGGACTTCGATGACTGGGAACACGAGCGCATTCAACTTGATGATGTCTCGATCCACTTCCGCTACCACGGCCAAGGACCACCCGTTCTCCTCGTACATGGCTTCCCTCAACACTCACTAACATGGCATACCATCGGTCCAATCCTGGCTCAAAACTGCATGTCTTCGCACATCTTCGGTAATGAGAGAGTGAACTGTTAATATCAAAGCAGACACGGTGATCGCCCCAGATATCCGCGGATGCGGAGATTCGTCCATCCCGACCTCCAAGAACTACACCGCTGCAGCCGCAGGCGCAGACCTCAAAGCCATCTTAGATTACCTCAACATCTCATCTACATACGTCTTTGCGCACGACAAGGGTGTAGGGCTGGCGACATCCCTCGCTATCGAACATCCTTCGCTTGTTAAAGCCATCATCCTCGCCGAATACGCACTCCCAGGATATGGATATCCCTTAACAGTGCAGAGTCCCAGCTTGTACCAGAACTGGCAGCTCGCCTTCTTTGCCGTGCCTGATGCAGCTGAGTTCTTCATTCGAGATCGCGAGAGACAGATGTTGAGCTGGTATTTCTTTCACGCGAGTTATTCTGGTATGGCGGCCGTGAGTGAAGACCACTTGCAGCGGTATACGAATGGGATTGCGAAGCCGGGGTTTTTGAGGAGCGGTATGGAATACTTCGCGGCGGCGTGGGATGACGAGGCGTACTTTACTTCTGTGTTTGGCAGTGGACATAGGTTGCAGATGCCGTTGTTGGCGCTGGGTGGTGAGGCGAGCTTTGGGCCTGTGTCGCTGTTGGAACAGGTATGGTCGCAGATCGGCGATTACTTTGTTGCTGAGTTGATTCCGAAGGCTGGGCACTGGATTGGTGAGATTCTTTTCTTGGACAGCACTCAGCTATAGCAAAAGAGCTAACGAAGGTACAGGCGATGAGAATCCGATTTGGACTGGTAATCGCGCCTTACGCTTCTTTGAAGAAGCTGGGGAGGTGAGCAGTGTTGATCTGTCCTACCTCAAAGACCAAGTGACATTGCAAGGTGGTACCATCTGATGAAAGGCGATCGCGATATTTCAAGATCGCGATATGGCATAGGAAGAGTTTGGGAAACAGGTAGAAAATTGTTGGGTATCGCACTAAAGTGGCATTGGCATCATGTACTAGGGCTTCCTTCAAGCCCACTGCGACGGCGAAAGTCTTGCAACCAGTTCGGGTTGTCTGCTACTGTTTGGTTCCACTGTCGTAGATGTTAGCATTTGTCTGGTATATAATGGATCGTTTCGCTTCCTTACCGCATCATCCGCATCCTGGTATAACAACCTCCGCGACTCGCGTTGAAACATCTCATCCGTCGGTATAATACCCGACAACATCTGCTGTCTCGCAAATCGACTAAGATGGCGCGTCAAAACCTTCGCAAAGTCATAATCGTGCTGCGTAGAAAGGTTTCGGAGAGCTTCCAAAGAGTCTTCGAAAGCTTGATGGTCCGGTGTCTGGGTAACCTCTTTCGGAGACTCTTGGACTGGCTCTTCTTCCCGTTGATATTCTTCCCGTTGGATCTGCGAAATCATTTGCTTTGTATGATCGATGGATCCGGGATTCGTGGCAGAGAAGGGTACGACAGTCTTCGCTTGTTCGGCCAGTAGGTAGGGTGGAAACGCATTGATGACACGGGCAGCCACAGCCGGTTCGAAATCGTGATCGCCTTTCCAATCGGCCATGGTTTTGCCCTCTTTGAAATGTGCGGCGAGGTGGTCTGCTCTCTCATCCCAACTACTTAGATTGGCATTGCATATACCACAGCGACATGTCACTGGCAGAGTCTCAAGTTTCCAGTCGTCGATGAGAGGTAGCGTTTCGAGTCCGTGGACTAGACGAAGGTGTTGCGTGAGATGATCTTTGCGGTGGAAGATACGCGGGCTGTTGCTGCCGTCCGTGCATGCCGCGTGATTATGTTTCTGCAGATGCTGGGGTGTTGGATCTAGTGCACTACAGTAGGCACAGTGTACTCTACCCGTAAGAGGTAGCACCACAGAAGCTCCATGCGGCGTGCACATCCAGCTTTCGAGGTTTAGATGTAGCGATATCTCGTGTCGCTTCCAGTCGTACTTGTGCTTGAAGGTGTCGCAACAGAAGGTACACTTGAATATACGATCAGGGTCCAGCATATTGCCTCTGACTCTTCCCTTGCTTCTTGTCTTTGCTTGACTGCGACGCTTCGATTGCGACGTGGCGGAGCGGCTCGAATTCGCGGATCGTAATGAGGATTCGCTTGCAGCGCTATCGAGACTCGTGGTAGAGGAAGGGCCTCGATACTTGCGGAACGCATCGCCGCTGGAGGGCCGACTGATACGTGGTGAGTGGCCTATAGGCCTGTCCTCCAAGGCATGGTAGATAGCCGACAGAGATGCGGCTTCGTCTTCAGGCGGCGAGTTCCGCCAGCGCTGAATGGCCAGTGACTGACCCTCTTCGTGTCGAGGACTTCCACTCGGTATTACCATCGGGCTGACAGTGCCCGTTGACCTTCGCTTAAAGTACTTGCTTCGACGGCGAGGGAGTGTGTGATGACGCTGCGGCTGTGGGCGCTCGTGAAACTCAGTCGGCTGGTACGCGTCGAATGGATAACTTGGCGAAGTCATACCACTCAGCGGTTGTAACGTATCATCTAACGTAAAGTCGTGGAAGTTCGGGTCGATCGCCAAGTCGTCGTCGATGCTGAATGCGGCAGGAGCATCAGATACAGCGTTAGTCGCACCCTGGCCGACATCTGTAGCGAGGAAGTTGTCGAACCACGAAGGGTCGATCGTATCTTCGTTCCATGATTGGAAGTTCCAGTTGTTCACTTGTTGATGATCCATGGCTCCAGAAGTCGCGAGTGTTGTTTTGGAGATGACGACAATGGCTGGAAATGGAGGTACGATGAAGGCGTCAGCCCGAAGTCGGCGCCGCTACCGATGCAACCTTTACCAAGTGATCGCGTATAGATCTAGGTTAGCAAGCGAATGCAGTACACCGCAAAGAACCTCGGGCTGTCTCTGGCCGACTGCTAGATATTGCGAGGCATGCAAGGCGTAGGGCGTGAGGTGGGGCGAACTTCAGAACGCGCTAGCCCCGCGATCTAGACAATTCTTCCCTCTAGCGCAACAGGACCGGATGTTCACGACGCGACATAACGTGACTTGCGATACGATGGAAGACGAAAACGGCAAAGCTGTTGCGGAGCAACATGAACAAGTTCTCGAAGGTGTTTTCGGTAAGTGATATCTTCGCCTCCCGCCCGTACCTTGTTACTAACTCTGTATAGCCGTGGTGAAGCCTGCGAATGTCTCCTCAGCAGACGTGCTTCTTAAACTCCAGTCAACATTCGCTTCCTCAGATACATTCGCGCCACTGCGCAAACACCAGCCCAAACGTACCAGCAAATCCTCCGACCAAGTATTCCGCCTAGGTCATGGCGGCACGCTCGATCCCCTGGCCTCCGGCGTGCTCATCATAGGCATCGGGCGTGGCACAAGATCGCTTTCACAGTACTTAGCATGTGACAAAAGCTACGACACCACCATTCTATTCGGTATGAGTACCGACAGCTACGACTGTACTGGAACTATGAAGACAAGAGCAGACGCCTCGCACGTGACTCGTCAGCTTGTCGAGGAACAGCTACCCAACTTTCTAGGAACAATCCAGCAAGTTCCACCCGTGTATTCTGCGCTGAAGATCAATGGAACCAAAGCATGCGAGTATGTGCGACAGGGCAAGGAGTTGCCTCGCGCGTTGGAAAGTAGGGAAATGGAAGTGAAGAGGTGTGATTTACTGGAATGGTATGATGCGGGACAGCATGACTTCGCCTTCCCCGGCGAGGAGGAACCCGCTCCAGCACCCGCGGTGCGGATCAGATTGACGGTGTGTTCTGGCTTCTATGTTCGCAGCTTCGCGCACGATCTGGGTGTCGCTTGCGGTACCGTTTCGCACATGGCCGCGCTGAAGCGCGAAGTGCAAGCCAATTTCGTGCTCCAGCCTTCTCCGTTTCCGGAGGATACCGCTGCGATCCCGTATGATGATTTGGATGTTGGTGAACATGTCTGGGGCCCCAAGCTCAGACCACAGCTCGAGGAGTGGGTCGCGGCCAATCCAGTCAGCCAAGGACATGTCAACGGCCGAGAAGGAAGCACGAAGAGGAAGATGGCACAAGAGGGAGAAGCAAAGCCCAGACAGAGGTTTCGTGGAGAATGGGTTGCTGAAACGAAGAAAGAGCGAATCAAGCAACAAGGTGGCAAGTACAAGGGGAAATGGGGACGGAAGCCCGAGGTTGACGCACTTATAAAGCATTTTACGCAGGATATCAGTAAGTATCAATGATACAGCGGCGCCCCATAACT